ACTGCTTTCTCACTTGGTGGTTGCCGAGGCAGACAGGGCTGGGAGCAGCCGCACTGGCCTCTCCCTCAGGGACCCACTCCCTCCACCAAGGCCCCACCCACCTCCTGAGGGTTCCACAACCTCCCAAAACAGCGCCACCATCTGGGCACCAAGTGTCCAAACACAGGAGCCTGTAGGGGAACTTTTTACATCCAAACCCTAACAGTACATTTAGAAGGAAAAAATAAACCTACCTATAGGACTCCACACTATCTATGCTCCATTTTGGACATCTATCCAGGGGTCTTGTATATATCTGTATGGGTAAGGGGGAAATGACCCCAGCACTTTATCTGTGCAGTCAAGGGACCACCAAGAGACAAGAATTAGAGTAAGGGGTGGAGATGTGGCTCACTGGTTAGAGCACTTACAGCTCTCCCAGAAGATCTGGGTTTGGACCCTGGCACCCACCCCAGGTGGCTCATAATTGTCTGTAACTCGTTTGAGGAGTTCTAATGCCCCCTCCTGGCCTCTGAAGGCACCTGCAGGCATGTGATGCACATACAGACAAGCAGACACACACACGCATATAAAATAAAAATATAAATATAAATGTAAAGAGAACAGACAGAGCGAGAGCGAGGTAAGTCAGCATGACTTCAAACCAGCTCAATCCAGTCCTTGTTAATGATGGCAGCCTCGCTTCCCGGTGTGGTTATTTATGACACCCTCGGGAGTTGAGTAACTGCCAATTATTATTGCAGAGAGCAGGTAAAGCATCTTAAAGGAGTTTTATGCCTCTCCCGTGAAGGGAAGCATCAGGCAAATGGGGAGGAATGGGCCTCTGTGAATGGGACGCTCAATCTCAATGTGTGCAGAGCACAGAAGGATGCACCCTGCAACGCCTGCCCTGCTTCCCGGGGTTAGGGAGGTGGGTGCCTGCCACCCACTCAACTCTGAAGTGAAGCAGGTGTAATGACTCACTTATCTCATATGTGCCTGTTTTTATTGAGCGCCCTGCTCCCTCCGCCTGAATCTGTTTGCATCTGGTAGATGTGACGCCACGTCTTCTTAGGCATCCTGGCATCTTCTATCCCTCTCCCCCGCCTGGACTTAACAGAAATGGATTTCAGTCCCAGGGGTTCTAATGAGTGTTCCATGCAGCTGAGGGGAGGCACTGGGCATGGGGAGCCAGTGACAACCGATGTGACTGACACCAAGGGAGCAGGGGCACTCGTGAGGCAAGAGTTAAGTGTCAGCAGCACACGGAAGGTTGCTGTGTAGGTGATAAGGAAACATATTGTGTCTATATTGATTCAGGCAGATGATGGTCCATTTCAGAAACCTGAACCAGAAATGTCAGTACCGGGGAAGCCATGGAGTTCAATTCTCTATCACTGACGATGGCAGCCATCACCTGCATCCACCCTGCCTGGAGTTGGCTACACAGCAAATAACAGCAGTTCTGACAGGCTTTGTCCCTTCACATTTGGCTAATGGCCATAAAATTCCAGCCTGGGCCTACCACCAGATCACTTGCCAGAATCCCCCAAATGAGGGGCTGGAGGTGTGGCTCAGTGGTAGAGGCCTACCTAGACTCCCCCAGTGAGGGGCTGGGGTGTGGCTCAGTGGTAGAGCACCTGCCTAGAATCCCCCAGTGGGGGGTTGGAGGTGTGGCTCAGTGGTAGAGCACCTGCCTAGAATCCCCCAGTGAGGGGCTGGGTGTGGCTTAGTCATAGTGCACTTGTCTAGACTCCACCAGTGAGGGGCTGGAGGTGTAGCTCGGTGGTGAAGCACCTGTCTTACACACACAAGGCCTTGGGCACCATCCCCAGCGCTAGAAGGAAAATAAAAATGAAGCCTAATCCAGCTGCCTGGCAGTTGACTGGCTAAGATCTTGGGCTTTGACCTGTCAACAGAGTTTTCCATGTCCGGCAGGGTGGGGAGGAGCTGGACAAGCCAGGGGGGCAGGGCCTTCTCTTGGCAGGTGATCTTGGGTGTTCCCTTTTTGTTTCTGACCCGCCAGGCAGGGCTTGGTAATTTATGGCCACAATTAGTATCCATTGTCACCGCTTAGTGGCTGGCAGAGGACATGGGGGAACTTTCCAAAGCTCAGTCAAGGGAGCCCCTGGAGCTGTGGGTTTGGTGACAGAAACCTGGCAGGGACTGCTGCCCAGGAGGTCTGCACCTGCCGCCCTCTGCACCCTTCCTCTTGGGACTAGCCTTACTCCCCCCTGCTTCTTCCTCTTCTGAACAGAGCTCTGGGTCTGAACCGGTGGAACCAGGACCCACCCGCTCCAGTCAGCCAGCGCTCAGCACGGGGGCGTGACAAAGGTTATAGACAATTCTGAGAAGAAATGAGCATCCTGGGGCAGCTGAGGAACAGAACTTTCTGGCATCTCCGACCTCAGGCAGAGGCCTGTGCTTTCCTTAGAGACCCCAGGGTCACTGGAGCTCAGGGCACGTGCACATAACTGCAGCACTCTGATGGCTGAGGCAGGAGGGTTACCACTCAGTGTGACTCCAAACAGGGCTACATAGTGAGTTCCAGGCTAGCCTGGGCTACAGAGTGAGATATTGTCCCAGATAAATTAGCACATAGATGAACAAAGGCTGGGGAGATGGCCCAATCGGGGAAGTGCTTGTTGTTTTCACATGAGGACCTGTTTGGTCACCAACAGCACAGTTTTTTAAAGCCATGGGTGCTGGCACGCAACTGCAATCCCAGTGCTGGGGTGGCAGAGACAGATGGATCCTTGGAGCTCACTGGCCAGCCAGCCTAGCAATCGATGAGCTCCAGGTTCACGGAGAGATCCTGTCTCAGAAGAAGGAGGTGGAGAACAACAGAGGAAGACACCAAAAGTCCACCGACGGCCTCCACACACATCTACCTGCAACACACATTCTCGTGTACAGAAGCCAGACATACGTGAATATTCTAGAGCCACTCACAGCAATGGTCCTGGAGGTGATGCTGACCGCCAAATTCAGCTGAGTTTGCTGGAGAGGTTAGGGCCTTTGGAGGACCCCACCCGTCTCTGTCTGTGGCATATTCATGATAAGGATCCCTCCTGATGCACACACCTCTTGTGGGCAACTTTCCTGAATGGTGGCAAAGAAGGCTTGTCCCCTTTACACATCTCCACTTCTGACCTGGCTCCACCCCTTTCCTGCCTACACTGGGCTCTGCTGTGACAGAAGCCATCTATCTCTCTGTCTGTCTATCATCCTTCCATCTACCTATCAATGTACATGTCTATCACCCATCTATTCATCTGTCCGTATGTCCATTTATCTATCTATCATCTACATGATCTATTATCTGTAAGTACCTATGTATCTGTCTGTCTGTCTTCCATAATCTACTTACATATCCATATACCCATGCATATATCCATCCATCTATCATGTATCTATCTCTTTTGGGAGGTTTTGCCTGTTTTTTGTTTGTTTGGTTTTTGGTGTTTTTTTGTTTTGTTTTGTTTTTGTTTTGTTTTGTTTTGTTTTTGAGATAGGGTCTCACTATGTAGCTCTGGTTGTCCTGGAACTTACTACATAGACCAGGCTGACCTCAAACTCACAAGAGATCCACTTGCCTCTGCCTCACGAGTTCTGGGATTAAGACCTGTGCCACTATGCCTGGCTCTATCCATTTCTAACACATGTGTACATCCATCTACCTACCTACCTACCTATCCATCCATCCATCCATCGATCCATCGCATCTTTACTTTCCAGGAAGCTTAAAAACTACGATGTATGCTTTTTTCTCCTTGTACCCAGGGAAGCATGTCTGTCATATGAAGTAGGTATTGCTCAGACCCCAACACACTGGCTGACCCACAACACCTCTCTTGCCCCACAGGGTGCAAGGTGCATCTCAGGATCACAAGGTCAGTCAGTATTCTTTGTGGGTGTAGCAGCTGGAGATAATATCTCCTCTTGGAGGCCCCGGAAATCAATTCCCTTTCAATTTCAAATCAGTACCAGTGGAGCGGAGAGGAGAGACAGTGTTGCATCCCCAGCCAACATGCAGAGATGAAAATAATGAACCACAGAGGCAGCCAACGGTGTGGGTTGATCCACCCAAACTCCGCTGCCTCAAAATGGAGCCGTCGGGGCTCAGGGCTTCAATATTTAATGCTGAGTCTGGAGGGGGAAAGCAGTATGGCTAGGTGGGAATGCACAGCCAGTCACTGGCAAATTGGGTGGGTTATTACTAATTCAGAAGCCCCAGGACCCAACAGAGCTGAAAACAAATGGATGACTTCATGGTGTTGCTGATCAGCAAGGGTGAGGTTCCCACTGTTTCCTCCCAGATTGAAGGCTACAATTCCTAAGGCAGGGGACAGCTGAGGCCCATTTCAGAACTTGAAATGAATAATAATAATTTTGGACTGGCCTGATTGGTTAAGGCCTGTGGTCCTAAATACTTGGAAAGCTGAAGCAGGAGGATCATGAGTTTAAGGCCATCCCAGGCTACATAATTTGTTAGAACAATCTGGTGAGTCTCTGTCTGAAAATTAAAATGTAAAAAGCAAAGCAAAACAAAACAAACAAAGCTGAGGATTATGAGGCATTGCCTAGAGGCAAGAGGATTGCTCAAGAGTTCAAGGTGAATCTGAGCTACACAGTGAGTTTCCAGGGGAGTCAGGACTACATAGTGAGACCCTGTCTCAAAGACCAAAACCAAAGCAGTAAAAAGAGAGCTGGGGTGTGGCTCAGTGGTAGAGCATCTGCCTAGAATCCCCCAGTGAGGGGTTGGGGTGTGGCTCAGTGGTAGAGCACCTGCCTAGAATCCCCCAGTGAGGAGCTGGGGGTGTGGCTCAGTGGTAGAGCCCCTGCCCAGAATCCCCCAGTGAGGGGCTGGGGTGTGGCTCAGTGGTAGAGCCCCTGCCCAGAATCCCCCAGTGAGGGGCTGGGGGTGTGGCTCAGTGGTAGAGCAGTACCTACTTGCCATTCACAAGGTGTTGGGTTCTATGCCCAGGACCTTAGTAAAAGAAAGAACACAAGAGGCTGGGTGGTGGTGGCACACGCCTTTAATCCTAGTACTTGGGAGGCACTCTGTGAGTTCGAGGCCAGCCTAGTCTACAAAGCGAGTTCCAGGACAGGTTTCAAAGCTACACAGAGAAACCCTGTCTCAAAAACAAAACAAAAAACAAAAACAAAAACAATCAAACGAAAAAGAGCACAGGAGAATCCAAAGTCACCCCGTTGAGTCTGTCAGTGCCCTTTGCTGCTGCACTTGGAAACTGCAACCAGGCATTTCCAATGGACCAGCCAGAGAGGGGTGGGGGGAACGGAATCCGGCTGTCAAGGCTGCTGCACAGACCAGCCTTTTATAACAAAGTCATTTTGTATAGTCAGAAGTGGCAGTGGCGGCTGGAGGATGCTCAGTTCCCCTGCCCTGGATGTCACCATCTGCAGAAACTAAGAAACGGTCACTGGAGCCCATGCTAAAGAGCTAAAGAGGCTGGGGGCTGTCTTTAGATTCTCCGGTTTCCCTTTCCATGCCTGTGCACCGGCTGGTCCCCTGCTGTCCCTTTTGTCCTCTCTTGCCACTCCACTGCCCAGAGAAACACCTCCACAACTGTCAGTCTGAGGGGCTGAGTTCGCTTGGGAGGCTTTGGCTCTGGCCACAGGCCAAAGAGCCTCACGGTGGGAGGAGGAGCGTGTGGACCCATTTCGTGTTGGTGACCGCACTGCATGCTGAGAGGCGGCGGCCTCTGTGGGTAGAGGAAATCAATGCACAGCCTGCACGCTCGGCATCAATAACAGAATTCTTCTGATGGAAGGCTGGAAACATCCTTGCAGGGGCTGTCTTTAGCATGCTCTCAATGGGTCTCGTTTTTCTTTTCTAATTTTGTGTCTTCAAGTCACACAATTTTTGTATGGGTAGTAATCAGCTGCAGGTGGGCATAAATCTATTACTGCGGGAGACTTGAGACATAAAATAGGTGGGTGTGGTGGTACGGGTCTGTCAGTCTAGCACTCAGCAAGCAGGCTGAGGCAGGAGGATCATCATTTTAAGGTCATCTTGGACTACATAGTTAGACCATGTATCAAAATAAGACATAAAACAAGGGCTAAGAGTGTAGCTCAGTGGTAGAGCATCTAGAATCCACCAGTGAGGGGCTGGGGTGTGGCTCAGTGGTTGAGCACCTGCCTAGAATCCCCCAGGGAGGGGCTGGGGTGTAGCTCAGTGGTAGAGCACCTGCCTAGAATCCCCCAGTGAGGGACTGGGTTGTGGCTCAGTGGTAGAGCACCTGCCTAGAATTCCCAGTGAGGGGCTAGGGTGTAGCTCAGTAGTAGAGCACCTGCCTAGAATTCCCAGTGAGGGGCTGGGGTGTGGCTCAGTGGTAGAGCACCTGCCTAGAATCCCCCAGTGAGGGGCTGGAAGCGTGGTTCAGAGGTAGAACTGAATCCCAAGAATTCCTGTAAGAGGTGAGACCAACATAGCATTGGCTAAGCATGTTTATGGCCCTGGTTCAATGCCCAGTATTGGAGTTTGAGTCAGGGGTGCAGAGGAGGAGCTTTAGGACAGAATGCAAAAGGCAAAAGCACCTGCATGGAGTTCATGACCATCTTTAATACTCCACCAACATATAGTCTGGCAGCTAGAATTTAAAGAAACAGGTCGGTGACTGGCTTGATGATGCACATTTGTAATCCCAGTCCTTGGGAAGGTCACTGTGAGTTCTAGTCCTGCCTGGGCTACATAGGAAGACTGTCTAAATAGACATGTATCTTCACCATGAGGCTGCCAGAGACCCAGGCAGTTTTTGACCCCTTCCCTGCATTCTTGTGATAAATCCCTGGTGCGGCCTCAGGTGTAAGCATCATATACACAGTTCAAGGGTACAGTCCCCATCCTCAGGGGCCTTGTGATCTAATTATTTCCAGGAATGACAGCATTCACATAGAGCAGATACAAGAGACACCACGTAAAGAGTGCACAGAACTGTTCACCTGTCCTCCACCGCCAACCTGGCAACCACTGCTATGACAGATCTTGTTTTTGAGACTCTCCTTATAGCCTGGAACTACCTACTTAGCAGAGGATGGCCTTGAACTCCTGATCCTCCTACCTGCACCACCTGAACATCATGTCCAGTGTATTCAGTGCTCGGAATGGAACCCAGGGCTTCATGCACACTATGCAAGCACTCTGCCAACTAAGCCACATCCCTAGCCCATGGCATGTTACTGTGCATGTGTGGATACTGTTCATGTATGTGAGTGCAGATACATGCACTCCATGGAATGCATGGTTGGGCAGAGGACAATCTCAGGTGTCAGTCTTTGCCTTCTACCTTGAGAGAGGGTCTTTTGCAGCCTTCAAGCTCTGGGGAATTCCTGTTTTCACCTCGCCTCTCACCATAGGAACACTAAGATCACACATGTGTGCTACTATGCCTGACCCCATGTGGGTTTTGGGGCCTTGAACCCAACTGAGTTATCTCCCCAGCCCTTGCTGTGTCAGTCTACAGTTCATCGGGTATCAACAGTCCTCCTCTACAGAGACATCCTAGGACCGTGGCTGGGAGTGGTTAGTGAACTTGGAGTAGAAGTCACGGACGGAAGCTGCAAGCACAGGGAGTCATTAGTTGACAGAGTGGGGCTTCCAGAGCCGAGGCGGCCAGGGATGCTCTTGAATGTGAACTCTCCATTGTTTCCAGATTCAGAGGAGAGGATGATAGCTGATAGAGCTTACCTGGAGAATGGGAGCAAAAACAGACCAAGTTCCATCCCCAGCACTATTAAAAGAAAAACAAAAGGAAAGACTAATTTTGTTGTTTTCTATCATTGTGTATGGCACAGTCCATCCTGGCCACATCTAGAAGGATTTTCCAGTCTTTTTTCCTGAATTCGGTAGAGTATGGGGCTCTGTGGACCACTTGGCTGGACTTCCTCCCTCAAGAGCATACCTACATCCCTTCCTTGACTCCCTCAGGTTCCCGTTTCATGTGTTTCTCCTCCCACACCCATCTTCGGGTCACCTCTGATGCGCGCGCACGCACACACGCACAAGGTCAACATCAAATGCCTTTTTTTTTTTTTTTTTGGTTTTTCTTTGAGACAGGGTTTCTCTGTGTAGCTTGGCTGGCCTTGAACTCAGAGATCCACCTACCTCTGCCTCCTGAGTGCTGGGATTAAAGGCGTGTGCCACCACCACCCAGCAACATCAGACACCTTTACCTCTTCCTTTCTACCTTTTTTTTGAGATAGGATTCCTCACTGAACATGGAATTTGCTGTCTTCAGTGACTAGGTAGCCAGGAGGCCCCAGGGTCTGTGCTTCCCCAGCACTGGAATGAGCATCCTGCATAACCACTCCCAGCTCTTTACATGGGTTCTGATCCAATGCGGCTCCTCATGTTTCTTTTGCCTACATGTCGCTAACATGATGAGAAATGGCTGGAGAGCTGCTGAGGAGGTTCAGACTGTCCAGGAGCTATAAAGGGGCACAAAACAAGGACCACAATGGGGAGTGGAGAAGAGAGAGTGGGGTGCCAATACTGGAGAAAGAAGGAAAGAAAGTTGCCAAGAGTCAGAGGAAGGAAATACAGGCCCATTGCCAGCAGAGCTCCCAGAAGCTGGCAAGATACACTTGGTCTGACAGGGTTGGCACTACCAGCTGCTAGGTGAGGGTCCCGATACCCAGGACCCAACACTAGCAGCTGAATGTGAAACCTAGAACCTCTAACCCAAGCACCTGCAGCCACTAGTCTGGCCATGGAGCCTGTAGCATAGGTCCCTATTCCCAGGGCTTGCAGCTGGAAGGCTCTAGTCTGTCAGCACAGCCTAGAAGCAAACCTTTGACACCCAAGGGCCCAGGTCTTCAACACTAGAAACACTTCTCCTTGCTGACTCATCATGGGTAGAGCAACACAAGCCAGCTTTATGAGTAAGGGGATAAGCCGTACTGGTGTTAACTAAAATTCCCAAACCTTGGGGAAAGCTACACTGTTGTTACACATTCTACAGGCTGATTATAACCTCACTAATTTCACAGAGTTGGAATTATCTTGGGCTAGTTATCTTTAGCTCCTCCATTAGCCACTTATGCCCACCACCAGGGCATGTGTGACCTAACTAACATCTTTGACACTCTTAGGTAAATACTAAGAGGCTAAGAATCAACAGATAGCATGTGAGGCCCATAACAGAGGCCTCCCCCTTGCTGTAATCCATCTACCTGAGGTTTCCACCAAGGCATTTTATTTATTTATTTATTTATTTATTTATTTATTTATTTGGCTGTATGTATTTTGGAATGAGCATCCATATATATATATTTGGTTTTTCCAGACAGGGTTTCTTTGTGTAGCTTTGCGCCTTTCCTGGAACTCACTTTGTAGACCAGGCTGGCCTCAAACTCACAGAGATCGCCTGCATCTGCCTCTCGAGTGCTGGGATTAAAGGTGTGTGCCACCACCGCCCAGCCCATTTTATTTATTATGTATACCGTGTTTGGCCAGCATGCCAGAAGAGGGCACCAGATCTCATTATAGAGGGTTGTGAGCCACCACGTGGTTGCTGGGAATTGAACTCAGGACCTCTGGAAGAGCAGCCAGTGCCCTTAACCTCTGTGCCATCTCTCCAGTCTCTACCTTATCATCTTTGACCTGTTACTATAAGAACTCCATAAATCTGAGGTGAACTGAATCTGTTCCTGTGCCATAGCCACTCATATTTGGTTTCAGAATAAACACTCTCATTTGGTTTCAGGTGATTGGCTGACATTTGTCTAGCGGTATCTGTAAAACAGAAATAGTTGTGTACTAGATTCAGGGACATCTGGCGATCTTATCTAACCTTATCTAATGGTTGGAGTGTTTGGGATGTCAGGCACTTCCCCTTAGATGTAGGCCCTCCTTGGGTAGGGTCAGCTTATGGCTTTTCCTGGGTCTGGGTGTTGCCAACCCATAAGCCTGTGACAGAAGCTGTGTCTGGGCCTCTAAGCTTGTCATGGCAGCTGTGTGGTCAAGCTGTTTTGGGCCCCTCACACCTAATCCGTATGCATAGGGCAAAGGTGCTCCAACTATACTAACAAAGATACAGACATCTTGAATACCATCTTGTAATCCATCTCTAGACTGGATCTCACTTCCAAGGCCTGGCCCAGGTGTTCTCTCTCCCCCAGTTCTGGGATCCCTACAGCTTTACAGATGGACCACCAAGTCTGTGCATACTGCAGCTCCGACCCACAGGAGCCTATAGGGACCGCGGGGACAGGAGCCTCGCCCCCCCGGCCCAGTCCTGTCTCAGACTCCCTGACACAGGCCTGCCACCTCACCCAGAACTGCCTCACCGTGACTCAGCCAAAGCCAGAGACGCTGCGTGAAAGTTCCAGCAAAGAGGCCGAAGACAAGGAGGGAACCGAGCCGTGGAACAGCCAGATTGGGCGCACGGTGAGTGACGACATCATGGCGCGCGGCCCCCTGGGGGTCACGGCGCGAAGCGATTGGCCGGCTTTCGGTGACGTTTCGGGCGCGCCCGCGAGCCTAGCCTAGGTGTTGCGGGATTGGTTGGCATTAATATGGCGTCATCGGAGCGCGCCGGGAACGCCCAGGATGCATGACTCTGTATCTGTTGACTGAGGATAAATGGCCCCGGCTGCCGCAAGTGCAATGCTACGCTTTCCGGACTTGCGAGAAGTCGGGTGGCACGCGGAGATTGGACCCGCAGTCCCTACTGTGGTGTCGCCGGGCTGATCACAAAGGACCCCGCTTGTCTGTTTCCGCCGCCATCCCCGGCTACTACCCCGGACAGGTACCGGTGTGTCATTGTGGGTCGAGCTGAACCGGGGTCACAGGTGCTGCTGAGGAGGGGAGGGTCACAGGAGCTGGTGAACCAGGGCCTGGCGTCTCCGCGCTGTGGCTTCCCCTGGCCAGGGCAGCAAGAAGTTACTGTCTCAGGGCAGTGACATCTTAGATTCCCAGGTCAACTGTCCTGAGCTGGTGTCGTGGGCCAGGTGTGGTAATGCAGGCCTGTAGTCTCTGCACTGGGGAAGTTGAGCCATTAGATCGCAAGTTCCAGGCTAACCTGAGCTAAGTAATGAAGACTCTTTCTCAAGAAACAATGTACCGGTCGGGCACGGTGGTTGACACCTTTAATTCTAGCGTTCCCGGAGGCAGAGGCAGGCAGATCTTTGAGTTGATGGTCAGTGTGGTTCACAAAGTGAATTACAGGACAGCCAGGGCCACATAATATAGACTGCCCTCCCTCTAGAAAGAAAAGAATCAATCGATGGTCATTTGGGAATAGTATCAAATTCTGGTAGCTTTGTTTGTTTGTTTTTTGAGACAGGGTTTCCCTGTGTAGTTTTGGTGCCTGTCCTGGATCTTGCTCTGTAGATTAGGCTGGCCTCGAACTCATAGAGATCCACCTGGCTCTGTCTCCCGAGTGCTGGGATTAAAGGCGTGCACCGCCACTGCCGCCCGGCTCTGGTAGCTTTGAATAAGAACATTTCATAATGAGGATTCTGTTGTGTATGATGCCAAAAGATTTTCCAGCCAACAGGAATGAGAACCGGCAGTTAGCAGTTAAACGCACCAGGAAGGGAAGAGCCGAGGCTGGCAGGTGGAGGCTGGCAGGTGGAGGCTGGCAGGTGGAGGCTGGCAGGTGGAGGCTGGCAGGTGGAGGCTGGCAGGTGGAGGCTGGCAGGTGGAGGCTGGCAGGTGGAGGCTGGCAGGTGGAGGCTGGCAGGTGGAGGCTGGCAGGTGGTAGGGGTGGTGTTTGAGAAAGTGACACTGCAGATTGGTCCTTGCAAGGCAAATAGATGTTTACTGAGGCCAGAGAGTTCTAATCTAGGTTCTAGATTATAAGTTCCCAGTGGAAAAGAGAAGTGATAGAAAGACATTAAGAAGATCTTTGGGGGACTTGAACACTGGAACGTGCAGGAGTTTTGAGCCATTTGATGGATGACAGACATAGAGAAGACTTGGACTTAAGTCTGGTCTGTCTCCAGGATGCCAGTCTTTCTAGTTGTCTGTTTCTTGTGGTTTAATTAATGGCTTGTGCCTCCTTCCCTGATCAGCTCTGGCCTGATATCATTAAGTAGTAAGCACAAAGTACAACTCAATGCATAAGGGAGTAAGAGGCAAGGGGCAGACTCCACTGGGGAATGTAGTCAGCTAATGTCATTGGGCACCTGGGAACAGACTCTTGATGTCAACAAGTGTACTGAGGAGATGAAATTGCAACTGAAATCCAAGGAGATCGTAAGTTTCAGTGGCAGCTATGAATTGAATATGGACAGCCCTTCTCATTCTCACATTTGTTTTGTTCTTGCCAGAGTTGGGGATTGGACTCAGAACTTCCCCTTCCCACATGCTAGCCAGACGTTCTTTTATTAAGCTAATAACCTCAGATGTCATTCCTCTGAAGCCATCCACCCTTTTTTTTCCCCCCTGGGTTTTTCGAGACAGGGTTTCTCTGTGTAGCTTTGCGCCTTTCCTGGAACTCACTTGGTAGCCCAGGCTGGCCTCAAACTCACAGAGATCCGCCTGGCTCTGCCTCCTGAGTGCTGGGATTAAAGGCGTGCACCACCACCGCCAGCACATCCACCCTTTTCTTTGAAATAGGATGATCTGCCGGGCGGTGGTGGCGCATGCCTTTAATCCCAGCACTTGGGAGGCAGGGGCAGGTGGATCTCTGTGAGTTAAAGGCCAGCCTGGGCTATCAAGTGAGTACCAGGAAAGGCACGAAGCTACACAGAGAAACCCTGTCTCGAAAAACCAAAAAAAAAAAAAAAAAGAAAAAAAAAAAAAAAGAAAAGGATGATCTGTCAGTGACTCCTCAGCACTAGGATTCCAATCACTAACTAACTAACTACTACTCCTAGCTTTTTCTTTTCTTTCTTTTTTTTTTTCTTTTTGAGACTGTCTCACTGTCTCTGGCCTGGAACTTACTATGTAGATCAGGCTAGCCTTGAACTCACAGAGATCTACCCACCTTTGCCTCCCAAGTACTAGTATTAAAGGCATATGCCACCATGCCCAGTTATGCCTGGCTTTGTGTACCCTAATAAACTTGCCTGAGGATCAGAGGACAGAGGCAGTCACTAGATTAGACATAGAGGTCAGGCAGTGGTGGCACACACCTTTAATCCTATCACCTGGGAGGCAGAGACCTGTTTTGGATCTCTGTGAGTTCAAGGCCACACTGGGCTACATGAGATTGATCCACTATAGGAGAGAAACAGAGCCAGGCAGTGGTGACACACGCCTTTAATCCCAGGAAGTAATATGGCAGGGCAGAGAAAGGCATATAAGGCCTGAGGAAACAGGAACTCACTCTTTTTAGACTGAGGAATACATAGAGGTAAGAACTAGTGGCTGGCTGTTCTGCTTCTCTGATCTTCAGGCAAGTTTATTAGGGTACACAATGTATCACTACGTGGCTTTTTTTTTTTTTTTTTTTTTTTTTTAGAGATTGAAATTCAATGTTAATGCTTGCAAAGGAAACAGTTTATCAATTGAGCTATCTCCCCAGCCCCTTTCTACTGTTTTGTTTTTTGTGTTTTAAATGGGGAGTGATAATTAGCTTTAATTGTCAACCTGACAGCCTAGAAGCGCCTGAGAAGAAAGTCTCAATGGAGGATTGGGTGTCCACATTGGGTTGGCCAGTGAGCATGTCTTGGGCTGGGGTGGGGGTGTTGTCAAGTTAATTATTTGGGAAGACCCAGTATACTATGGGTGGCACCATTCCCTAGGCAGGGGGGCCTGAACTCTATGGGAGTGGAGACATGGAGTTGTGCCCAAGCAAGTGTGCTAGCATTTACTCATTCCTCTCTGTTCTTGACTATGGATGTGATGTGATGTGACTGTTTCAGGTCCCTGCCACCTTGGCTTCCTTACAGTGATGGGACTATAAACCTGGAACTGAGTGAAAACAAACCCTTTCTTCCCGAAGTTGCTTTTTGTCAGGGTATTTATCACAGCAACAAGAAGGAAACGAATACACATGGTCTCCCAGAGCTGTCCAGGCTGGCCTAGAGTTTGTGTGATTCTCCAGTCCCAGCCTTTAGAGTGGTTGGGGTGACGGGCCTGCACCACCTAGCCTGGCCTGGGAATCTCAGGATGCATTGAAATGTGGCTTTCCTGGAAACCCCGTGGTTAGGATGGGCTTTGTAAACTAGGACTTAAAGGGACTAGATGGTAAGGCCCCTCCTACCGTGGGTTTGGCTCTTGGGCTGAGAGTTGGTGTTTATGAAGAAACTCCCATTGGCCTCTCTGCTGAAATCTTGAGCATTTGTGACTTGGCCCCAGGATGATTTGGACATCCCATGCTCCCCACAGAGGGAGTCTCTTCATGCTCATTGGCCACAGGTTACAGGTCTTGGTGACTAACTTGGGGCCTCATTCTAATTCCCACAGGTGATACTTCAATACCTGTGTTTTGGACGCTGTGTTCACAATGGAGTTTCCTGACTTGGGGAAGCACTGCTCAGAACCGACTTGCAAGCAACTAGGTGAGGAAACAGTATTTCATTGGCCATTTTGTGAGGGACACCTGGCTGTTAATTACATCATTAACTAACTAGTTGGCCTCTGTCCTGGTCCCTGGCTTCTCAGCATGAGGACTCCAGTACAGGACATGGGGTCTGTTCAGCCCTGCAGTTTTAACATCCACCTAAGGCCAGGCGAGGCCACTAGGGCTAAGCAGATGCAGTATACAGCTTGGATGATTGACACCACAGAAATGGAATCTGTGTTGAGAAGATAGCTTTGTCTTTGTGGGTCCTTGGGCATCTCTTGGCCTTACTACATCTCTAGCTTTGGGATTGGGGTTGTGGCTCAGTCGGTAGGGTGCTTTGCCGGGCATGTATGAAGCTCTGGATTCCATCCCAGCACCACATAAAACCAGTGTGGTGCCTCATGCCTGAAATTTCAGCACTGGTCGCAGGCAGGAGAAACGACATTCAAGGTCCTCCTAGGCTACATGTGAGTTCTGGGCCAGCCTGGGCTAAATAAGTCCCCTGTCTCAATTTTTTTTTTTTAATTTCCTCTCCCCAAAGTTGTTTTCCCTCCTTCTAGCTAGGATGTGTCTTTTTTTTTTTTTTTTTTTTTGGGTTTTTCGAGACAGGGTTTCTCTGTGTAGCTTTGGAGCCTGTCCTGGAACTCACTTGGTAGCCCAGGCTGGCCTCGAACTCACAAAGATCCGCCTGGCTCTGCCTCCTGAGTGCTGGGGTTAAAGGCGTGTGCCACCACCGCCCAGCTATTTTTTTTTTTAAAGAACTAAAATTCACATCATAACAGTAACATTTGGTGGGGGACACAGTGTGAGGATTGACCCGGGGCCTGGCCTCGCACATATTAGGCACACCACCACTGAACTATATCCTCAACCCATAAATGCCCCTTCCTCCCTTTCTTTGTTTTTGGATTTTTTTTTTTTTTTTTTTTTTTTTTTTTTTTTTGGTTTTTCAAGACAGGGTTTCTCTGTGTAGCTTTGCGCCTTTCCTGGAACTCACTTGGTAGTCCAGGCTGGCCTCAAACTCACAGAGATCTGCCTGGCTCTGCCTCCCAAGTGCTGGGATTAAAGGCATGCGCCACCACCGCCCGGCGTATGTGTCTCTTAAAGGCATAAGGAGTCTAATGTAGATACATTCCTGCTTTGAGTGGTATGTAATTCTTTGGTTCCAGTCTTTCAGATGATTTACTGTTTTGCTTGATTTTTGTTTTTTAGATTTTCTGCCAATAACATGTGATGCATGTAAAGAAGATTTCTGTAAAGACCATTTTTCCTATTGGAGTCATAAGTGTCCCTTTGCATTCAAGAAGGTAACTCATCATCCTGGAGTCTAGACCGCATGCACCACAGCTGTTCTGTCCCGTTGTTCTGTGCAGGCCAGAGGATGGTCTATGTCAGTCATGCTTTGAGAATGGAATGAGAATGGTCTATGTCAGTCATGCTTTGAGAATGGAATGAGTGGCTTTATTAAGTATTTAGCCAGCCAAGGTAAAAGAGTAGGTGGTGAGCCAGAGCTGGAAGAAGGGGAGATGATGGATGGGTGGGTAGGTGAATAGTAAAACATCATCCACTGGGGCACTCGGATCATCCAGCAGAAGCAGACCGGGGGGTTGAGGGAGTCAGCTGGAGTTCCCAATTGCTGTACTCTTCTGGCTTCCTGTTCCCACTGCAGGTACTTTGCTATCACAGGGTAAGCAATGGTCCCTCTGTTGGAAGTAGTTTCCCTTCTAGCTGTTCTCCACGACATGGTGCTTCTATTCTTGGTCTGCATCACTCACTGTTCTCTTCTCCCTGTCACAGAGTTGGTGGGACCCACCCACCCCCAGTCAAGATGTCTTGGAGGACACTTTGAGACAAACAGGATTGGGTTTCAAATGGGGTAGGGATGGGTTGCAGCATGGCTTCCAGAGCTAGCTTCTCAGTGAACTCATTGACAGTTTAGCAGTATAGTGTACCATCAGTACAGTGGATACCAGCCACAGAGCTGCTTATATTAATTAGTTTTATTTATTTTATTATTTACTTATTTGTTTAGTTTGGTGTTTTGAGACAGGGCCTCACTTTGTAGCTCTGATGGCTTGGAATTTGCTTTGTCAATCAGGATGGCCCTAAACTCAGACACTGTCTCTGTCTCCTTAGTGCTGGGATTAAAGGTGTGTGCTACCACACCCAGCTGCTTTCCACATTTTTTTTTGTATTTATTTGTTTTTACTTATTTTTATTTATTTTATTATTTATTTTTATTAAGAGATTTTCTATTCATTTTACATATCAACCTCAGATTCCCCTGTCCTCCCTCCTCCCATCCCCCAGCCTTTTCTCCCAACCCACCCCCCACGGTTTCAGGTTTTTTATTTTTTCTTTTCAGATTTGAGATACACACCCACACACACCCACACGTGCACATGCAATTCCATGTCTTTGGGGTAGGATTCTGTTTACTCATGTCTCAGATTTTTTACACACACCCTCTGAAGATGATTTTACATGGTATTTTCAGTGGGTCTGCATTTTAACTGTCACACAAGATCAGATAGGAGATTTTTCCATTTGTAACATGTTGGAAGTCAAAAAGCTTGGACTTGGGAGTGTATTTGGATCTGGGATTTTTGGATTGAGGATGCTCAACCTGTATTTAAAAATCCAGATCTGGCACATTTTTTGAAACAAGGTCTCTTACTGACTCTGGCCAGCAAGCCCCAAGATCTTCCAGTCTCTGCCTTCCCAGCATTGGAGTTACAAATGCATGCTGTCAGCTGGGCATAGTGTTAGCACATGCTGTCACTGATAGCTGATAGGCAGAGGCAGTCGGATCTCGAAGTTCAAGGCCAGTCAGGTCTACAGAGCAAATTCAAGGACAGTAAAGAATACACAGAGAATCCCTGTCTCAAAAACAAACAACACAACAAAATTAAATGCAAGCACCTGGCTCTTACATGGGTCCTGGGGTTTGAATTTGGGTCTCTGAGCTGTCTCCCCAGCCCTCTTAGGTTGGGCATCTAAAGGAATAAACAACTGGAGGGAGATGACCAAATTTTTTTAAACTTATTTTTAGCTTTTTATTTTGAAGTAATTTTAAATTTTTAGGAAGTTACAATGAGAATCAGTGCACCCTTCATCCATTTCCTCCAGTGGTCACATCTGACGTACCTATAATACAATACTAAAAGCAGGCAATTTTTGCAGTACAGAGTAGAGATACACTTCTATGTCATTTATCATATTTGGATTCTTAGAACCATCAAAGTCAGCACTACAGAGCACCAGAACAGAGGAGCTCACCAGGTCCCTTTCTTCCCTGAGGGTTTCTAAACAGTTAAAGTCCCTGGAGACTGGGCATAGTGACATATGCCTTTAATCCCAGCACTCTGGAGGCAGAAGAGACAGGAGGATCTCTGAGTTCAAGGCCAGCCTGAGATGACCAATTTTTAGTGTCTCTGCTTGCTACAAGATTGTGTGGAAGTACTCACATGGATACTGGAATATTAATGCTCTGAGCTGTTCCTGGTAGGTGCAGAGGGTCAGCAGAAGCAGTCTTTTGAGACAGTCAGGAAGTCAGAAGAGCCCATGATTGCCTCTGCAGCCTATGCTCCATGCAGGGGTGCTGTCTCCTGATAGTGTGTTTGTGTGGAAGCCAGGACTGAGCTTGCTCAGTAAATGGACTGTGGCTGTAGGCTGTGACCCCCGAGACACACGGGGAAGTCTGCCTGCTCTCAGCTGAATTGTGCTGCGTATGAGGGACAAGTAGAGGACAACCTCAGGTGCCATCCCTTGTTTCCTGAGATAGTCACTCACTGCCTGGAGTTCACCACGTAGGTTAGGCCAGCTGGCTCACAAGCCCCGGGGGTCCCCGTGTCTCCACCTCCGAAGTGTTGGGTTTACCAGCATATTCCATCAAACCTGGCTTTAAGGTGGGTGCTGAGGTTAGAACGCAGGTCCCAGTGCTTGCATGGGTATCTTTGCCAACTGGACTGTCTCCCAGCCCTAAAACTGCACCCTCATTGTGTGCCCCACATTCCAGCCTTCACAGTTGGTCCTTCACCTTATACACTTGGCTTGTGGATTCCCCTGCACCAGGGAGCAGCAGTTTCTTATTCCTTCAGGTCATTGTGGCAGGAGTTTCTAGGAGATTGTACACTGTCCACCAGACACTAGGAGGTCACTCCAGTACATGGGTTCACTCTATCCCAGAGGTGACTCACAAGTCATGTCAGTGAACTCTGCTGCTTCCCCTGGTGGCATATGGACAGTAGGTGACTTTATCACATGCCTTAACCAGAGCTGGGCACAGTCCAGCCAAGTCATGAGGGTGGGTGGGGTTGGTGACTCACGTTCCTGTTTACCAGGCACTGATGACTAGGTGGCAAGCTGTTTCTGTCATCTGGACCTTTCTTGTGCCCATGTTGGGAAATGTCTATCTGGAGATCACATAGGAATGCTTCGTTTCTTGGTGGGCACATCAGCCAACTGAGGCAGCCCTCCTGCAGACAGCAGGGCACAGAAGCCTGTGACCCCTGTTTCCATCTAATGTCAGCTGTCCCATCCCCTCTGGCATGGATCCCTCCCTCAGTGGTCCTGGCTTAGAGTTTTGCCTCCACGCCCTCCAGAGCACCCTCAGTCTCTGGCTGGCAGTCAGCAGTGGGGTACAGCCCCTCCACTGCCGAGGGCATCTCGCCCTGTTGGTAAAGCCACTGAGATCAGAGAGGCAGCTGCAGAGTGACTGCTGGGATCCTTCCTGCCAGTTCCCACCCATCACCTTGGCTCTGAGGGGTCAGGTGGGTCCTCTCCCATGGCCATGTTATGTCCCCTCACCCCCATCTCACCAGCTTCCTCCTTTGAGGGCCCTCCAAAGCTGGTGGTGTACTTTTTGTGTCTGAATCCCACTAGACAACCTTGGGTGGTTTACTGTTACGTTGTCACCATAGTTCCTTGTCCTCGCCAGTGTGCTCCCGCTTGTAAACACATTTTACTGTGTGTGAGTGACATTTGAGTGTGAGTGCTGGTGTCATCGTATGTTCATTATTTCAGGATGTGCAGGTGCCCGTGTGTCCCCTCTGCAATGTCCCCATCCCTGTGAAAAGAGGTGAGATCCCAGATGTGGTGGTTGGAGAACACATTGACAGAGATTGCACCTTTCACCCTGGGAGGAACCAAAAGGTAAGAGTTGGGTTAGGGCGCACGCACGCACGCACGCACGCACGCACGCACGCACGCACGCACGCACGCACGCACGCACGCACGCACGCACGCACGCACGCACGCTGCTGCTGCTGCTTTGGGAGAAAGGTCAGGTTTCTTTCTTTTTTCCTTTTTTTTTTTTTAACCAGTTTTACCGGCTGGCTAGTATTGTTCTATAGTCAAGGATGACCTTGAACTCCTGATCCCAACCCCCACCTCCCTCTCTTGAGTGCTAGTATCACAGTCATGCATTACCATGCTTGTTTTATATGGTTGGAAATCAAACCCGGGATGTTACGCTTGTTAGGCAAGCACTCTACAAATGGAGCCATGTCTTTTAGTCCCAGAGGTCTGTTCTCTAAGTGTGGAATGCTGACAGTCAGTGGGACGCTGAGGTCTCCCTGCCTTGTGTGTGAGTGGTGAGTTTGCTGCATGGGAGCAGCTCCCAAGCCTCACAAGGGTCCCAGTTTGGGTCCTTGTCTTCAGGAGTCCCCAGCATTTTCCAGAGTAAGTACACACACACTTTGACTGTGCAGCTTCTAGAAGAGCTTTTTACACACACATGCACACACACATGAGCTGGGGAGCAGCTCAGTGGATAAAGCTTTCTGCCTGGTCATGCAGGCCTCAGAAACCACTGTCCCCAGAACCCCTGAGCCAATTGCCCTCATGGCGCCCCTGTGACACTCTTGCTTTGCCTCCCTCCCTGTAGGAGACCAGCTATGACCTGTTGAAGGGTTCTTGGAGGAGAGAGGAATGAGGAAGTATTAGATAGAAATAAAGGCCTAAACAAAGAGAAAGACAGAGACACAGGATAGCTTCAGTGTCTTCAGCTGAGACTTTAATCGTAATGGTCCTTTTATCCATCAGCAAGGAGAGGGGCAAAAGACCAAGATCCCTTCCAAGATCAAGGTATAAAGTACCAACAACTGTAGACCCTTCAAAACACCTGGTAACCACTCCCTTGGCCAAATCATGCTATTATGCAGTCCTGCTGGGCAGAGCAAGCTCAGACTTTCTGATCTTGAGTAAGGCCTTACTCAGAAGCCTCTGTAGACTCCCACACCTCCCTGGCCTGTTTTCTTTCGGCCTAGTCTTCCAGGAACTCGCCTGTTGCCTCTCCCAGGTGCCCCAGCTTTGCCGACTACATAGCCAGTGTTTGCGTCTAACCTGGCAAAACCTGTCTAAACAGAACTTGGCATCCTCATTCTGAGTGCCCAGGACTTGTCAGCTTTTTATTTTACCTTTTAAAAAGCCAGATGTAGTGTGTGCCTTTATTTCCAGCAATTGGGAGGCAGAGGCAGACGGATCACTATGAGTAAAGGCCAGCATGATACATAGCAAGCTCCTGGCTAGCCAAGGCTACATAGTGAGACCCAGTCTTTAAAAGCAATACATAAAATTTTCATTTTGGTTTGTGTGTATGCATGTGCTTGCATGCATGTGTGGAGGCCAGAGAATGTCTCCTGGCCTTCTCTCTCAGCTCTGCCTCATTCCCTATGACGGTTTCTTGTTGAACCTGGAGCTAGGCTGACAACCTGCAAGCTTCCGTGACCACTCCCACTCCCCGCCCCCTGTCCCTGTCCCCCACAGGGCTGGGTTTGTGGGCATGTGTGTAGCTGTTGCGGCTTTTTACATGGGTGCTGGAGGTCTGACCTTGATGTTTAGGCCTTTACAGGTGCTCTCACCCACTGAGCCGTCTCCCAGCTTCAGGTGGTTTCTGTTGCTTTTGTTTTTATTGGGTGGTGTTGGGGAATGAATCTACTGCTAAGCCACAACCAGAGGCTCTGTGTGAGTGTGTGTATGTGTGTGTCTCCATGGCACACACATGGAGTCAGTTCTCCCTTAACTCAGCCTCTTTGAGTACTTAGAATCACGGGCCTGTGACACCTGGCCCAGCTGCCAGGGCCAGTTTGAGCTGAGCTGGTGACTTGCTGCTCACAGAAGTGACTTTGTTCTTGCAGGTTTTCACACACCGATGCTCGAAACCGGGATGCAGGAAGAAGGAGATGCTGCCGCTGGCTTGTGCACAGTGCCGTGGCAACTTCTGCATTCAGCACAGGCATCCTCTGGACCACAGCTGCCAGGCTGAGAGCAGCGCCACCAGCCGGGGGAGGTGAGCACAGGCTCCGGAGAGTTAGTCCTGCAGCTGCCACACACTGGGCACTCCGTCGGGGATTTATTCTCATGGGCCTAGAGCGGAGTTGGCAGCTGGCTGACTCCTTCTGAGAGGCACAACCTCTCCCAGCTTCTCCCAGTTTCTGGCTTGCCTGGTACTCCCTGATGAGCCTGGCTTCGTGGGCACGTTGCTCCCATCTCTGCCTTTGTCTTGGTGTGGTTTTTCCTAGTGCCTGTCTGCATCTTGCTTCTGCTCTGTTAGGGCATGATCAGTTGTATGGCCTGCTGTCCTGACTGATGCTCAGTTTGGTTTTCTCAGTGAAAACTTGTCTCTAAATGAGGTCCCTCCTGGGTGCTAGGGGTTAGGTTAGGACATTGGCATGTCTTGTGGAAAGGGGCACAGAACATCCTTATTGCTACTTTAATAAGAAGTAGAAACTTCTCACTGCACTCCTGAGTCAAAATGAAACATAACTTACTCTGTGTGTGTGTGTGTGTGTGTGTGTGCATGGATGTTGGTCCTTGATTCCTACCTTGTTTGACACAAAGCCTCTTGTTTGCTGTGGCGTGTGCCAGCTGACTTGAGAGCTTCCCTGGAGGCGCCTGCCTCCACCCCCGCCCCCATATCCCTGTAGGATCCCTGGGATTTCGGACACCCTGGCATCTGGCCTTTACCTGGGTGCTGGGAATTCAACAAGTCCTCAGATTTGTGCAGCAGGCGCTCTCCACCGGGCTGTCTGCCAGCCCCACGCGTTACCTTTGGGTTGTAATCTTTTCTGGGGAATAAGAGGATACACACGGTACAGCATGCATACATATAGATGGAGGTCGGAGAACGGCTAAGTTACTCTGTAGTTACACTTGACTTTCTCAAGCTGTTTGTATATAATCTGGGTTGGAGCCCAACTATCTAACTACATAGACATAGGTGGAATTTCTTGATGTGGGTAAGAGGGTCTAATAAATACACATCTGACTTTCTCTATAGGCCTTCAGCATCCAGAGCTCCTGAGCAGAGGCCATCGGGAATCAGCTGGCTGGCCCAGCAACTCAGGTACTCGTCTAAATGACATGTGAGACTTTAGCTGTGTCTCTCAAACATGTGACGTGGTGTGCTTCCCTAAGGAAGGCCAGGCCTGGCCACAATAGCTGTTTGTAGAATGTCCCGAGTATCCTCGAAGGCCCCTTTTCATGACAGATCCCTTCTAGGCAGTTCGGACATGTGTGGTCACCCATCGCTTCTTTCTCTTCTCTTCAGGCGGACGGTGAAGTGATGACGAGGCTCCTGTCTGGGCCTCACACCAGCTCCTTCCTCTTGGGTTTTAACCTTGGTGGTATGGCCTCCAGTGCTTTCCTGATTCTCCTGGTAGACTGAGTCTTCAAGGAAAAGTCTCCCACTGACTGTTCAAGTTAGGGCAGGAGATGGCTCAGTGGGTTCAGCGCTTGCCTCACAAGAGGAGGACCTGGTTTACTCCAGAGTCCATGGTTGGTTTGTTTTTTTTTTTTTTTGGGGGGGGGGGTGTTGAGACAGGGTTTTCCTGTGTAGCTTTGCGCCTTTCCTGGATCTTGCTCTGTAGACCAGGCTGGCCTCGAACTCACAGAGATCCACCTGGCTCTGCCTCCCGAGTGCTGGAATTGAAGGCATGCGCCGCCACCACCACCACCACCACCACCACTGCGCGGCCAAAGTCCATGGTTTTTTTTGTTTTTGTTTTTTTCCAGAGCTGAGGACCGAACCCAGGGCCTTGCGCATGCTAGGCAAGCGCTCTGCCACTGAGCTAAATCCCCAACCCCAAGAGTCCATGTTTTAAAAAACCAGACGTGGGGCTGGAGAGATGGCTCAGAGGTTAAGAGCACTGACTGTTCTTCCAGAGGTCCTGAGTTCAATTCCCAGCAACCACATGGTGGCTCACAACCATCTGTTATGAGACCTGGTGCCCTCTTCTGTGTACATAATAAATAAGTCTTAAAAAAAAAAAAAAAAAGCTAGGCGTGGTTGGTGCACACTTGTAATCTCTCATTCCTGGGGAGCTGGAGACAGGAAGATCCCTGGAGCTCTCTGACTAACAGCCTAGTCTAATTGGAGAGTTCCAGGCCAGAGAGACACCACCTCGAAAAACAAAGTGGACCCTTCCTGAGGATTGACCTATGGCTCCACACACTCATGTGTACCCATATGTATATACACACACAAGATGCACAAACTAACAAAGTAAATGAGGCTGTTCAGAAGCTTTGAGGTGGGTTAGGTTATAGCACTGCTGAGTTCAGGAGCTGAGGACCTGTGCAAACCTCATTAGCAGTGGCTTTGGGTGTTAAACCATTTCAGGACTTGGTGTTCTGGAAAATTCTGTCCTGTAACAGAAAAGAGCTACTGATGGGTCTGCATTCTTCCCTGTGTGGCTCTTGTAATGAGGTGCCAGTTGGACACAGTCCCTCATGGTCCCCAAGAACACTAGTTTTGACCTCGGGCTCGGACTGCTGTGGAGGAGGGTGTGCACTCGGCCCACAGTGCTATCTCCACAGTTGACGTAAGCAGCCAGCTTACCCATGCCATGACTCCTCATGCCTGGGTTCAGAGTCTCACTATACAGCTCCAACTGTCCTGGAACTCACTTTGTAAACCAGGCTGGCCTTGAACTCGGAGATCCACCTGCCTCTGCCTCCTGGTTTTAACTCCCAAGAAGAACATCACGAAATGGGAGCCATCTCAGAACTTCCGGGGTTGAAACAGAAGCTTCTCATGCCGAAGCACCACAGTGTCGGGCAGAGAGAGGGCTCCTTGGGCTCTGTGAGGAGCAGAAACTCAGAGGAGGACCAGTGAGGTGGGCCGCAGGGTGTAGCCACCATTGCTCCAGTGTCACCCGTGTGTCCTGACCATTTCTACCGCCAGCTGGCCATGACATTGTGGGGGAAGAGCGTGTCTGGAATACTCTGGTGACAGGTACCAGCATTAGATTGATCCATTGTTTATATGTTGAAATATTTTATATATAATGGTTAATAAACTAATTTATTTCACCCGTTGCTTTTCATTTTTTAGACAGTCTCTCTAAATAGTCCTAGTGATATGTAAACCAGGCTGGCCTCAGACTCACAGAGCTTCTGCCTCTATCTGGGATTAAAGGCATGTGTCGTCACCCCCAGCTTGTTTTTTTATGTATGTGTTTTGTCTGTGTGTGTATGTATACCAAGTATGTGTCTGGTGCTTGCAGAGGCCAGAGTGTTTTTTCTTGGGAAGTGTGGATAATTATTCTCAAAGTCTGCATTTTGTGTGTGCATACATGGAGTGCAGGTGTGTTTGCTTGTTTGCACATGCCAGGGCATAAGTGTTCACATACATGTGGAGGCTTGAGGATGATGACCTTTGGTGTCTTCCTTGGTTGCTCTCCACCTTATAGACTGAAGCAAGAGACTTGCTGGGTCCAGAGCTTGTAGTTCATCTGGTCCAGCTACCAGCTATCTCCAGGAATCCCTGGCTCCGCCTCGTGGGTGCTGGGACTACTGGAAAGCGGCAATGACCATCTGACCTTTTTTGTGAGATCTGGGGACTTGAACTTGTGTGGCAATCTCTTTGCCCACTGAGCATCTTCCCAGCCCCATGTTCTCTTGAAGGAGGGACTTAGCAGTTTGCTCCTCTACTTGACTTCAGACTAGAAAGATTTTCTGTCCTCAGCTGCTGGGGTGCTGTGGGCAGACGCTTTGGGGGAACACTAGGTATAGGGAGGAGCTTTGTATCCATAAGACTTGCAGTTAAGCCGTGTCTTGGTACCTGCCTAGCCACCTTGAGTATGTTGTAAAGGCTCATTTCTAAGCCTGCCCCAGGTAGCACCATGGTGTATGAACAATGCTGGGATGAACAGGTCCATTCACATCCCTGAGTCATTTAGTGAGCTCCAGCATGGCCTTGGGCACCCACAGAACCAGGGCACAGATAGGAAGTGGCTAAGTGTCTTCGTGGTGACTGTGTAGGATTTTGGTAACTTTTGGAGTTTTGTTACTTATTGGGTTTTTAGGGGATACCCCTTCCTCTATCTCTGCTCCTTTTTCAGAAAAGGGACACTTAACCACCGATCTTTAAGAAGCCCACACTGATGAGCTGGAGAGTTGGTCTGGCTGGAGAGGTTAAGAGGAGCCAGGTTCAATTCCCAGCACTCACATGGTGGCTCATGACTGTCTTTTTAACTCCAGTCCCAGAGGATCTGATACCCTCTTCTGACCTCTGTAGGTACATACATGGTGGACATACATTCATGCAAGCCAAAGCCAAACACACAAAAAATAAATAAACTTAAAAAATTAAGCCAGCTGGGCATTATGGCACACACGTGTAATCTCAGCATTTGGGAGGCAGAGGCGGCCGGACTCTGTGAGACCAGCCTGTTCTACAGAACGAGTTCTAGGACAGCTACATAGAGAAATCCTGTCTTGAAAAAAACCAAAAATCCAAAGACAACAGCAAAACAAAATCATTAAACCCACATCCACATTCTCATTTTGGTTTATTTACTTTGGTGACTTCCTTTTTTTCTCCTTGTTGTTTTGAGAGTGTCTCACTATCTATCCTAGACAGGTGGCCTCTGAACTCAGAGATCTGCCTGCCTCTTCCTCCTGAAGACAGACAAGGGTGTGAGCCACCACACCCAGCTCGTTTCTTTGAAACAATGTCCCAGGTATCCAAGGTTAGCCTCAGGGGTGGTCTTGAACTTCTGATCCCCTTGTCTCCACTTTTCAGGTACTAGGATTACAGACCTTCATCACTATTGCAGTTTATAAAGTGCTGGTGATGGAACCCAGGGCTTCAATGCTGCCAAGTGAGCTACAGCCCAACCCACTTTCTGTTTTTGATAAACTCCAAATCAGCTTGTCGCTGGCTCACCCTGAAATTCTTTTCTGCATCCAAGGATCCTGTTTTACCTGAATCAAGGTCCCTAAAAGATTTTTTAAATCTTAAAGATAATTCCCACCCGCCTGGATCCGTCTCCCGAGTGCTGGGATTAAAGGCATGCACTACCACTGCCCGGCTTTATTGTGCTAAAATTATTTAAATTTTAAAGAAATTTGACAGCTCCTCAGTGCTTGCTGAGCCCTGGCTGCTCTTCCTGAGAATCCAGGTTCGATTTACATCACCCACATGGTGGCTCACAACCATCTCAAATTCCAGTTCTGGAGAATCTGGTGCCCTCTTCTGGTCCCTGCAGGCCCTGCATGCCAAGGTGCAGACAGAATGCTCATATACATAAAATTAAAATAAATCTTTATTTTAAAATCAAAGGAAATAAAGTTTTAAAGAAATTCTTCAGAATGCTACAAGTGACATAATGGAGCCCTGGTCCCTGTTGCTGCTGACAGGACTGCACAGAAGCCGCACCAGTGGGCACAATCCAGTAGCCACTCGATTGTCTAGGGGTGTCACTATCCACCTGTCAATCATTGCCAGCCCTGGCTCTACAGAGTGTAAAATCAGCCTTTTACTTAGTTGTGTGTGTAATGAGAGAGTGAAGGTTTTGCCCATACATGTCTGCACCTGTGTGTGTCTGATGTCTTTGGAGGTCAGAAGAGGGTGTCATACCTCCTGGAATTGGAGCATGGCAGTGGTTGTGAGCCACCCTGTAGGTGCTGGGACTGAACTCAGGTCCTCTGGAAGAGCAGCCAGTGTTCTGAGTCACAGTTTCTCCAGCCCTGGAAGCTGTTTTATGGGTTTATGTTGTTGTCTAAGTAGAATCCCAGGATGTAGCCCAGGCTAGCCTTGAGTTGAAATCCTACTGCCTCAACCTCCCAAGTGCTAGAGTGCTGGGATTACAGACAGGAGCTCTCACAGCAGTCAAGCCTATTGGCCTCATTTTTGTGGAGACTGCTTGGGATCTATGCCTAGTGTATGCTGAGAGGGTGGTGCGTTAGCCGAGGGCTTCCTTCCTGTCTCTCATGGGGCAGACCCATCTTCAACTGCTTTGACCCATAGACCTGACTTTGGGGAGGGTCATGCTTCCTCCCTTTTCTGAGTTGATTTCTGTTGTCATATCCAGTCCATCTTTGGGTGGGACCCAAAGCCTGGCTGCCATGCAGACCGGAGACTAGGGACAGCAGGCTTGCCTTTCAGGAGTGTGAGCTGCACTTTCTGTCCTTGTTCACAAGCTGTCACCAAAAGGCCTTTGTTGGAATGGAGGCTGACAGTGCTGCAGGACTGTCCTGTGAGGCACTGAAGAGCTAGGTGGTGTCCCCAAAGCCTGGGTCTGAGCAGCCACCCTCACTCAATTCCTCACTAACAACGGTCTCTTAGTTCCTCAGCTCCAACATGCGTTTGGGGAGTTGGTCTGTGGGTGAATGAGACTCCCTTTCCCAAATTCAAGCTTGAAAAGGGGGATCTTTGCTGTTCTCTCTGGTTTACTAGTGTCTTTTTTTTTTCATGTGTATGTGTGTGTGGTGTGCATATGTGTATGTGTGGAAGTGTGTGTATGTGGGGGGTGGCCCCAAAATTGATATCAGGCATCTCCCTCCATCACTTTCCACTGTATTCATTGAGGCAGGCTCTCTCAGTTGATCCCAGAGTTCAGTGATTCAACTAGTCTGGCTGACCAGTTGTCCTGGGATTCCTCCGTCTCTGCCACCTGAGGACTAGGATTACAGGCGGCTGCCATGCCCGCTGACTTATTGACTTGGGTTCTGGGGGTCAGAACTCCTGTCCCCACACTTGCGCAGCAAACATTTTATCCAGAGCTGGCTCTCCAGTCCACGTTGTCAAGGGTCTTGAGGGGAGTATGGGAGGGAAGCTGACCTGACTGTCCTTCTTGTCCTGGATAAGGAGTGACTTGTTTTATTTTTCTGGAATAGTGTAAGACTTTATAAACAGGGACAGGAGGGATGGCTCTGTGGTTAAGAGCACATACTGCGCCGGGCGGTGGTGGCGCACGCCTTTAATCCCAGCACTCGGGAGGCAGAGCCAGGCGGATCTCTGTGAGTTCGAGGTCAGCCTGGGCTACCAAGTGAGTTCCAGGAAAGGCGCAAAGCTACACAGAGAAACCCTGTCTCGAAAAACCAAAAAAAAAAAAAAAAAAAAAAAAAAGCACATACTGCTCTTCCAGAGGACCTCAGTTGGACTCCCGACACCCACATCAGACAGCTCACAATGAGCTTCAGGGGCTCTGGCCTCTGTGGACACCTGCACTCATGTGCACATACTCACACACAGACACCCACCCACACACATAATTTAAAATCCTTCACAGGTGCTGAGAGTGTGCCTTTAATCTCAGCACTTGGGAGGCAGAGGCAGGCGGATCTCTGTGAGTTCAAGGCCAGCCTGGTCTACAAAGTGAGTTTTAGGACAGCCATGACTGTTACACAGAGAAACCCTGTCTCGAAACCCAAAAACAAAGAAGAAAACCGTAGCATCCTACTATTTGGAGGAAGCTTATGGGATGAGCGCTAAGCTCACAGACTCCCATTTTAATGATTTATTTTTATTTCATGTGCATTGGTGTTTTGCCTGCAAGTATGCCTGTATAAATGTGTCAGATCCCCTGGAGCTGGAGCTACAGAAAGTTGTGAGCTGCCATGTGGTTGCTGGGAACAGAACTCAGGTCCCCTGGAAGAGCAGCCGGTGCTCTAACCACTGAGCCATCTCTCCAGCCCCACAGGCTCTCATTTTAAGTCAGGCTGTAAATTAGAAAAGCCCGCTTTAGCTGGAGTTGTGCTCACTTGGTGGCATGTTGCGTAGCGTTGAAGAAGCCCTGGGTTCCATCCCCAGCCCTGCATGCACTGGGCATGTGTTGCACACCTGTAATCCCAGCACACGAGGAAGCAGGAGGGTCAGCAAGAAGTTTAAGATCATCCTCAGATAGGAGATGATGAGGCCAGCCTGGGCTACATGAGGTCCTTTCTGGACAAAACAAGTGTGCGTGCGTGCGTGCGTGCGCGTGCGTGTGGCGGGGGGCAGATGAAATGGCTCAGTGGGTAAGGACGTTTGCCGCTAAGCCTGACAACCTGAGTTCAATCCCCGGGCCCCATGTGATGGAGAGAGA